GGCTGTCGACGGAATTCTCATCTAAATCTTTCAAAAACATAGACAATTATGAAATAGAACAAACATTTTTTGCCAAGAAATTCAATTAATTGCTGGCGGCGCATCTTTTTCTAAAATTAACAAAGTTAATTAAAAAAGGTTCTTGTGTCAGCTTGCCCACTTATTTGCGCAGTTTTTTTGTTTGTAGCTTAAAGCCTTGTGGACCAAAGTTAATTTTAGAAAAAGTGAAACTTACAAAATAAAAATTATAAAAGTTAAACCGTTTTTCCTTCAATAGGCTTGACATCATAAACAACCGCCTTTCCTTTACCTCCAATAGCCTTTGACGGTTACCATTTTCTCACCAGCATCCACTTATTCCCCATATTGTTATTTTGTTTATGCTCTACAGTGTTGTTATTTCGGTGTTGTCCAGCAAAATAATTGGTGATTGGCCAACAAGAACACCACCAGGGCCAGAAATACAAACAGCTTCAGGACCTTTCAGTCCCTCAATTATATCAAATTCCACTTGAAATTGGTAGAAATAATATTTCTGTAGTTGTTAAATTAAACTCATGCACAACGTAAACAAACATTCTCAAAAGCGTATCGTACCATTTGAGTACCAGCCGGTTATATACCCTACCGCTAATCTCACATCTGAACATTTCTAACAAATAAAAGTCCTAAACCTAATAAGTCTTAAATCTACAACAAAATTATTCGAAATTCGCTACTTTAATTGTTAATACTTTTAAGGAAAATTTAAGTGAAAGCTTTAGTCAATGGAATAAAATAGCAAAATAGTTTTAAAGGTTAGTAAAGACAAGCATAAGCTATTTCTTCTATCTTACATAGATTTGATCAATTTCGTTTTTTTGCTTTTTCATACTATTGTAAAATAGGATAAAAGGCCGTATAAAAAAATTTTTAATGGGCACGCCCAAACGGCGTGGTGAATTTCACCAAACGGCATGGTGAATTTTAAATATGAAACCTCTAACTCTTACATGAAGGGCTGTGAGCAGATGTAATTCGGTTTTGAGGGGAAACAAATTTTTTTGATTAGTGTGGGTTATTTTTAAATAAATATCTCTCTAAACTCTTAGCTTAAAATTTTTTTATTTTATAAGTTTTGAAGTTCAGAGACCCCTCTAACTTGCCCAAAAAATTAAAATCAATAACACAATCCGTTCCCAAGTTATAAGTCTTTAACCACAAAAAGAGGTGCAAGTTATAATCAAAAATTTTAACACACATGTTCGACCTTGTATCATCGAAGAAGGGTGGAATCTTTTGAATATCTATTAAAATTTATTCCCTATTTAGTTCTCTATTTTATCATATTTATTTTATATCCGTAGATTATTTTTGCTTGAAGTTATGTAGATAAATACTTCACTCCGAACTTCCTTGTCACCCTGTAGATCTTTTATTCTCTTTCGCCATAAATCTTGATGATTTTTTAAAAGTTAAATTAAAAATTGTCTTACAAATTTTTAATTTGATCTTTTATAATAGTTTAATTAAAATTGAATTAAAACTAGTATATTATACATATGAAATTTTGTTTAAAAAATTCAAACTTTTATTAGAAATGAAAAACTCATATGGATTGGGTATACATTTTTACCAACGCCCCTTTCTTTTCCGTCATCAAAATTTACGTTAATATGAAAAGAGTGGTCAGCGTTTTTCCTTTTTCAATTTCACTCAATTTTCCCTGAAGTAAGGTCAAAGAGCAACATTAACAAAGAAAAGATTAATTTTTTCCACCTATGTCATCGAAATAAAAATTAAAATTTGAATTCATATTTTTAAGTACATATTTCAGTTATTTAAAAGAAATGGCAATATATAAGTACCGGGTCTACATATGTTATAAAACTAAACATCTGGTATTTTTCGAAATATAACATACGGGGTACTAAATGGATAATTAGGAGTGAATAATTGTTTGGGGTGAATAATTGTTTTCAACTCAAAATATTGACCATTTTTACTACTCTTTTTAAACATTTTTGGACCCCTTTAACTCGCAGATATATCACGGGCCGATTCTGGCGTCATGTACTCTTCGCCATCCGTAATATGAGCTAAACCTAAGAATGCCAGACTAAGATTATTCGAAAATTCTATTGGTACAAAATAAAATAAATCGATTCCTAATACTCAATTTAAAAATATTTTAAATTGAGTATCGAAAATAGCATCGAAAATGCTCGAAAGAGCATCGAAAATGGAGTCGAAATAGATGTGGGGGAAGTCGATCCGACAATTAGGGTCCCAGTTATAGACCCCTGAAGTTTGAAAAAGAGAAGGGGGAGTAAGCTCATTTTGGGGTGAAAAATTCGAAAATGCAAATAAAGCTCATTCGACTCAGCTCGACAAGCTGAGTTAAATGACACCAAAATCGCCGAAATCCGACTTGATTGGACAAAGTTATAATCGTTTGTCTAGCTTTCTATCGCAAAACCCCGCGCGAAGCGCGGATTCTTGCACAAGCGCCTGCCTACGGCCCATAGGTTTACTTTGACCATTTTGAAGTCTATTTATCTGGGCTCAGATCTAGATATCGAGCTGATTTTGGTGTTATTCGACTCAGCTCGTCGAGCTGAGTCGAATGAGCTATTAATTGCTATTAATCGAATGAGCTATTATTTGCATTTGTAAATTTTTCAACCCAAATGTGCTTACTCCCCTTCTCTTTTTCAAACTTCAGTGGTACTACTAACTACCGCAAATCTCACATTTGAACATTTCTAACAAATAAAATTCCTAAACCTAAAGTCTTAAATCTACAACGAAATTATTCGAATTTGCTACTTTTATTGTTAATTTAATCATCATACTTTTAATGAAAATTTAAATGAAAGCCTTTGTCAATGGAATAAATAGCAAAATAGTTTTTAGGCTAGTAAAGACAAGCATAAGCTATTTCTTCTATCTTACATAGATTTAATCAATTTAGTTTTTTTGCTATTGCCTACTATTGTAAAATAGGAAAAAAGACCATATAAAAAAATTTTTTAATGGGCACGCCCAAACGGCGCGCGGCCATAACGCGCAAAGCCATAACTCGCTTCAGGATTTCCTCATTTTAACAAATTTAGTATTAAACGATTCCTCTCTTCGAGCTAAGCAGATTGGTAATGAAATTAATAGGGGCCAGTCATTTTACAGCAGGTTATCGCTTTACGTCGTTATGGTCGCGCGCCGTTTTGGCCACAAATATTGGCTATTTCTCTACCGGAGTTAATTTTGACTACTGGATACGGCAAAAAATTTTTATAATTAAAAATGAATTGTTAGATTTCTATGTATCACAATTATAGATTTTACACAATTCTGTCATTTAAAATAAATTTAGAAAGAAATACATAAATAAATAATGTAATATTTTAATTTCCATTATTCTTGGTCTTCATGGTACTGTCGATTTCACTAGAATCATATCCGAGTAATCCTTCCGTAGTGCTCTATATTTTAATTTAAATTTTAAATTTAAAAGTTATTGGAAATTGCATATGTCAAAACCCAAATTTATTTGCGATTCATGACCACGACCCAAAATGCTACCATTATCAACTACAGTGCCTAAAATTCCGTAAAATAATACCAGGTCAAGGTTTAGGATCAAATGTCCTAGACATTATGGTTGTCGGATATTTTCGGATCCGGATGTCCGGATCCGAAAAAAGACCGGATATTCTTGGTTTGGATAGCGGATCTGGATATCCGGAAAATTTCGATCGGATACCGGATCCAGAGCGGGATATCCGAAGATTTCCAAATATCCGACAACCTTACTTGACATCGCAATAGCAAATGATCTATTCCAAACCCTAACTAACTTTAGCACTTCTTATTCTTACAATAAACTCTCCCTGGAGAGATAGTCTTCCTAGTTCCCTAAATTCTTCCTAATTTCACTAAAGCTTATATTTTTCTATTAGGTCTATATTTATTAAACTATTAGGCGCCTTTGGATAAAGTTTTGTAGGACGGAGTCTTGTCTGTACCAAGTTTTTGAATCAGAATCACCCCCCCCCCCGTTCTTTTCCTAAATTTAAATATAATCTAGCCTTAGTTTGCGACGTAGACAATTCCATTAAAATTTCTGCAGCGTTACTAGCTTCAATTTTCTCCTTTTCTTTTTTCTCGGTTTCCTTCTGAATTTTTATCAGTTTTTTACTTAATATTTCCAGCTCTTCCATTGTCGATACTATTTTTGCTTCATTTTCTTGAAGTTTAGCAGTCGTCTCAGTTAAATAACCCTTCAAATTAAATTCATCCCAAAAACTTTGCAACAAACTTTCTTTGTAAAATTTCAAATTTTCTTTCAGAATTAATTTCTGATCTCTTTTTAATACAATCTCCTTATTTTCCCCAATTTTTTCTTTAATGATTGAAACGTGATAAATACCGCCTACAACGCTGCAATCTTTAAGCCTTCGTTTAATAACCTGAAATGATCAAGTTAAGAGAAATTTAACTCGAGATCTCCCCCTTTTGTTTCATATTTATTAGAAATATCCAAGGTCAAACATTTTCTTTGACTCAAACCCAAGACTGAGATAGGATCACAAGATCCTAAGACTAAGACTGATCTTCAAGCCCAACCCGAAAAACCCCTAAGATGTCTCTTAAATAGGATGTGAATAGAGTTGGGGGTTTTCGAGTCGAGCCGGCGTTGGAGTAATTTTTTCAAGCTTCATTTTTAGCGGACCGGAGCGTCCGAGTCTTTTTCGGGCCAAAATTCGATGCCCGACTCGACCTTTCGTACCGGACCGGGCCCAACACTACTCATGGATAAGGGACCTTCTTTACTATCTATCTATTCACCTGTTTTTTCAACAATTCATTTCCATTTTCCAAAACATCATTCATAAATGGGTTTTTCTCCAATTCAATGAAAATCTGTATATTCTTCTCCTCCAATTTATCACTTGGAATATTAAATAAAAAATCATCAAAATTAGGTCCAATTAATGACAATTGTTTTCTCGTTCCTTTGATCACTTCTTCCTTTCCTTTAGAATCTTGGGCAATCCCGGAGAATTGGGGTCCCTGCGAAAAAAAAGTTTAAAAATAAGAAAAAGGATTTTTCTAGGGTAAAAAAATATGCTGATTACGAATCCGAGCTCAGATTTTGAAAAAGTCGAATCCCGAACCCGAATTCGGACTTTTGATCCCGAACAGGATTTTTGACCCCTAACATTATCAGAGATTGTACAAAATGGCCAGTCTTTCAACAGAATAATAGAACTCATCGAGCTGCATCGAATGACACCAAAATCAATGAAATCCGACCGGATTGAACCGAGATACAGACCCCTAAATATTGAAAAACCACATGGGTGATTTTTTGGAGTAAAAAAAGTTTTTACAAATGATAGATCATTCGAAAGAGCTCGTCGAGCTGAATCGAATGACGCCAAAATTACAGTGATTGATCAAGTTTTGACAAAGTTATGACATAAGACGCCGACTCCTACAGTACTCCCATAGGTATACTTTATGTCATAACTTTGTCTAAACTTGTCCAATCACGTTAATTTTGGTGTCATTCGATGCAGATCGCCGAGCTCTTTCGAACGAGCTATCATATGCATTTTCGAAATTCGGGTTCAGGGTTCGAAATTTGGTTCGGGTTCGGGATTCGACTTTTTCAAAATCTGAGCTCGGATTCGTAATCAGCATATTTTTTTATCCTAGAAAAATCCTTTTTCTTATTTTTAAACTTTTTTTTCGCAGGGACCCCAATTCTCCGGGATTGCCGAATCTTGAATTTTAAGAGTGCAATAAAAGCGGCTATATGCTCTAAGGAAGTTTATATAGGCAAATTGTCTCTGGTTACCCCAATCTTCTACTATTCGAAGTGTTAGTTGTAAAATATTTTGATCATTTTGATTTGAAAATTGAAAAATTGAAAATAAAATGGGTAAATTTAATAAATAAATCGTTTTGAACCTCATCTGTTATACATATAAAATTTTAAAAATGAAATTTTTATTATTATGAACAAAAATGTGAATTTTGGAATTAAGGAGTTCATACGGATCTCGCAAAATTGATACGCATCGTAAAGCCTATAGCTATTTAATTCCTAAAATTTAATTCCTAAGGTCTACTGAAGAGGCTAATTCGCTCCCAGTCGCCGAATAAACGATAACCTAGCTGAAGGAGAGGAATAGTAAAATAGCCCTGCTGTTTTACTACATTTTGGCAGGGAAAATTTTGTCTTATGAATTTATCTTAGAATTGCGGTATCGCTTAGCTATTGTTTAGCTATTGCCTAGACCCCTGCTCTGCTTGGGCATCTCCGGTGCTTTAGGAATACATACATATCTTTTGAAACCTCGTTATAATACCACCACAATTTAGCAACTTCTCAAAGTAACGATCCTTATAACGATCCCAGTCTAAAAATTTTCCACGTTATAACGAGATTAGACCGTTTTAAATGTATATACTGTAATTGCTCCAGGATTCTACATGTCTTTAGGTTTTAAAAATTATGTTTAGCTAAATTTTAATTTAAAATTTCACAACAATTTAACTGTTTAAAAATTTTTAATAGGTCTCACAGGCAATGAATGCCCAATAAAAATGCATATACATGTCTTAACGTCGATAAGAATTGATTTCTCCCCTCCCCCATCCCTTCGCTACCTCCGCTCCCTCCCCATCCCCCTTCTCCTCACCCCTCCTCGACGCCCAATTTTTTTCTTTTTATTCCTCCCTATATCCCTCCCTATATCCCTCCATACATCCCCTCCCTATATCCCTCTCTATCCCTCCATATATGCTTCCCTAAATCCCTCTCTTCATCTCTCCTTATCTTTATATTCCCCTCCCTATATCCTTCTCTACATCCTTCCTTCTATCCCTCCCTATATCCCCCTCCCTATACTTCTCCTCCCTACATCCCTCCTTATCCCTATCTTTATATCCCCTCTCTACATCTTTCCGTCTATCCCTCCCTATATCCCTCTCTATCCCTCCATATATGCTTCCCTAAATCCCTATACTCTCTCTCTCTACATCCTTCCATCTATCCCTCCCTATATCCCCTCCACATCCCTTTTAATTTCTCGCTTAAAGTGCAATTTTTATTTATTTCTTTGTAATTTACCGCTTGTGTTATGATGTATATGTATAATAGTTTGTATTTTGAACAGTCTGTTGTCAGCTATCGTCTCGACTTAACTAACTTTAAAGTGCAAAAAACGGATTTTGAAATAGGATAAAGGTTTCTTAAAAATAGAGCATTAAAACTATACATAAAATTTTGGGTCGAGTTCGTTCCAATGGTTTACCCAAAAGTTTCGATGACTTAAAATATTGGCCTTTAAATGGCAGTTTATTTAATATGGGGCTATTCAAAGAGGTGTTAGCGATGAAAAGTCTCGATGAGTTGTTGTGCCATCTAGTGCTTCTATAGCTCATTTGAAAGAGCATTAAATACTGTTCCTAAAACCGTTTCCCTATCTGTTTCCAATAATGATTCCAAAAGTTATAATACCGGAAATCAATGATGGTTATTCCTTGATATATGGAAAAATTCAGGCATTTGAATTAGTGTAGCACCACGAGCCTTCGGGGGCAGGAGTGTCGGGTTTCGGGGTTTGTTGGGTCGGGGTTTTTGCCAAAAAAATACGTCGGGGGTCGGGTCAAGGTTTCGGGAGACGTAATGCTACCCTAATTTGAATTCATTTCCCACGGAAGCCCCATTACCTATACTTACATATTTATTTACCTCTCATTTTTAATACATATCCTCAATAAAAAACAGCAAAAATAAGTTAACTTAAGATATCTGATATCCCTTTACGCCTACGTAATAAATATCGCCACATTTTTCTTTGTTTTGATTCATTTTTAAAGTTTGGATTTTTATTTACACAAATCAATTTTCCCCAAATTTTTTGTTTGTTCAATTATTTTGAAATTATTTTTGAATTATTTTTATAGCAAATAATTCAATATTTATTTTAAAATTTTTAATTATCGTTTAATTATTTTTGAGCTATCCCTCCGCTTCAGGTGTACATTTATGGTCGGTCTGACTCCATGAGCTAGTTATCAAATCCCTCTTCCCTATAGGTGTACACCAATGCTGGGTATGTTGCCATGTCTCCAGCTCCTGAGCCAGCTCAGGGAGTCATTAAATGAACTGGCTCAGGAGCCGGAGACATGGCCAACATGTATCAGAAATTGATTATCAGCCTAAGACCGTGTACATGGAGCGGGGGCTAAGAATTTCAAAACCCCCGGAGTGAAGTTGAGATTTGAAAAGGTCAGAGCCGGAGGCGCAAAACGCCCAATACCCAGCACTCATATACTACATATCTGATCTACATTTAATCAGAATTTTCATATCTCAACAAATTTTGTGTTATTTGATATATTTAGAAATCGGACCTGAGAGATCTTGAACAAGAATTATGATTAGCGAGAGTCGTGATTTTTCGAGATATCAATCACGTTTCTCGTAAGACTCCTCCCGGCCCGTCTCTATTCTTGCTGTATGTGGATACACATCGAGCAATTTGGACATTAAAATTAGCATTTTAAAGCCTCCATTTGACTGTTAGGAATAAAATTATTTTAAATTTTAGCCCTTCAGAGGATTTTAAAAATTTAAAATCAATTTATCAAAAACCAGAGAACACTCATTTCAAGAAAAAATTTTTTTTACTATTTTTAATTTATTTTTGGCTGTCTTGTGAGTTCTTTTTTTAAAAGAAAAATCCCTCACATGTGTCCTTTCAATCCTTTCAATCCTTTTTATTTTTTATTAGTTCCCAACTCAAGGTTCACCTCAAGGTGTAAAGCATACTCCCCCATGTGCTTTATAAAAGAGTATTTAAGTAAATCTGGCTTAACTAAATAATAGAAAAATATTTTTATTTTGAACAAAATGTGTTTTTACTTAATATATATTTTTTGTTTTAGAATAGATTAAAGATTATTAAATTGTTTTTATTTCAATTTTAAAAACATGTTTTGAGCTTAATTTAAAAATTGATGTAAAAGCAAATTAGAAGTGGGAGTACATCTCAGCCGAGTCTCGCACTAGTCTCGCTCTGATTTAAATATGTACCTTAAAGTTGGTTCTGGAGATCTCTCATAAGAAACTTATGAGAGATGGTTTAAAAAAAATGTAAATGGTTTAATTTTACATCCAATGGTACCAAGAACAATAAAAATATAAATCCATGTCTTAGTTTATATATACATAGTTTATACATTCACGCAGCTCTGATTTGAATATGCACCTTAAGGTTGCTTCGGAAGATTAACGGCCTAAATCTTTATATCTCTCTAGTGACTTATTTAATAAAAATCATATTATCTCTATCTTGTAGAAAATTTCAATAGCTTCCGAATAAGCCCAAAATTAAATCTTAAATTCATCTAAAAGGATTCGAAAATATCTTTTGAATAGCCTTACCCCTGCTTTACGTTGATTTTCAAGGTTTCCGGATCAGGACTGGACGCAACTGAAAGCAAATCGTAAATTTTAAATCCTCTATACACAGTCCGCAAGTTAAAAACCCAAGCAATTTACACAGTCCGCAATCCGCAAATGCGTCCAACCTTGATCAGGATCTCGACTTCATGTAAATATATGGGCCTAATTTTTTCCAGAATTGTACTAAAATTTTTTCTAATTCCTCAATTCCTTCCCACCTATTTAAAAATATTTTTTCACCAACTGACGTCAATTTAATTTTTTAAAATGAATATATTTGTCAGGCGGAATTTTTCTTTTTAGCATCATTTATCTTTCTGGTCATACTTTTATTCCTCTCTCATTGTCAGACTTGTTTAAATTCGTTTTTATTTTCCAGAAACCAATTGGCGGAACACAAAAATTTATTTTTAACTTGACATGTTTTTTTTTGAAATTTTTTTGCTTGGAATTTAATTTTTAAAAAAAATATTTTTTCTATTTTTTGAACATTTTTTGCATCAATTTAGGGACTGATTTTGGATGATTGATCGATTGTTAGCTTTAAAAATGATTCAAAAAGTAGGAGTATTTTAGTAGAAGAAATGTGTTCTATTTATTTCATTAATCCTTTAAAATACTCCAAAGATTATTTGATAATAGCCCCCCCCCCACATGGGTCTATGACCATATTTACCCAGCCCTGAGTGTTAGAACTAAAGATCGGGCCGAGGCGAGATCTCGATCGGAAATTTCGGTTGTCGAGATCTAGATTCTCGTACAAATTTTTTGGGATTTCGAGAGGGGTTCTCGAGAGACAACAATATCAGTCCGAAGAAACATCCTCTTCAAGAATCAGGATTTTTTCGAGATCTCAATTCTTGTAAGACCTTACAGTCTTCACTCGGTGTTAGAACGACTGTATTATGGGTACTATTGTCGTCCCTTTCCCGTCATTTTTAAGATATGCAAAATGGTTACTAAATTTTAGACCGATATAGCTCGTTGATCTGTCGACTGACATCAATATCAGTCCGAAGAATCATCCCTGAGTCCGTGGGAACATCCTTTAAAATTGTCAGAAACCCATGGTTATAGAGGCTCAAGATGGTAAAACTTTTGAAAAAAAAATTCGATTTTATAATGATTAATAAGGAGTAAACTGTATTTTCAATTTGATTTTTAATTTTTAGATTTATTTTCCTCCAAAATTTTAATTTAAAATTTAAAAAAATAATGGGCACAGACGACTGTGTTGCTAATCCAGCATGTTGGGTAGAAAGTAAACCCTGCAAGTGTGGAGCTCAGAATTGGATTGCTACTCATGTTGAGCGTGTAGCTATTAAATTTGGGGGCGGAAAGGGTTGGTTTAATGATTTTGAAGGGGTTTCAGTGGGATAACCGTAACCGAAATGAGAATACACCCATTGATATACATATGATAGAATGGTTTGAGGTACTTCTCCCGTTCGGCGTCTTTCAGGAATTTTTGGGATGGGAGGAGTGAATCCTCCTTTTAATTTTTCCTAGGATCGCCGATGTCCGCGGACCCTAGCAAATCACCAGACATCCTGATCCGATATCCGAACTGAAAATTTACGAATGCCCGGATTCGCCCCTATCAGATACGTCACTCCGAAAACTAACTAAAAGAAAAGACTGGGATAAGTAAGAGATTTTACTTATCTGACATGAGCTGTTCGAAACAAAAAATCCTCGAAATTCGAAAATAAATTTTTTGTCGAAATCGAAAGAAAACCCCTCGAAAACCAAAATTTCACAGCAGCTCTTAAATATCCTTATCCAAATAATTTGGGCAAAGTGGGCTGGGCATAATGTATTTTACATAATATATATTTTACATTTTCTTTCTTTTAAACAAATTTCCTCTTGTTCTAGTGAAAAAGAGAAAAGGAAGGGAGCACTATTTAATATTTTTGTCTATGTCTGCTATTTGCACATTAGAAAAAACTTTCTTAGAGGCTTTCAGTTAGCGTTCTCTAGAGCACAGTTAATCTTCAAAGTACCCCCGGGATGTCAAACTTTCAGGAATTTTTGGAGCGGGGAGGACGCTTCCTCCCTTCAATTTAAAAAAAATTTTCAGCGAATGAACTCGAAATTCCTGTTGAGGGCGGTGCTGGTGCTCCTCCCGTCCGACGACGTTCTATTAATTTGTGGCGACCTATTGCCGGAATATTTTCTGTGAATTTGCGAGAGGAAGCAGTTGATGGTGAAGTGCTGTCCCCAGGGCCGGATGATTTGCATGATGAAGGACCTCATGAGGCTATTCAAGTGAATACTTTTTTGTGATTAGTGATCGGATCATACCGTACTAACTACCGTATTTTTCGGTATTTATCAAAATTTCGTATTGTAGTACTGTAGGGATATGGTACCGTAAAATTTTGAAGGGTTCTTTTAATCCGCAAATCTTGTCCGCAAAATTAGACCGCAAGTTATATCCCCGTTTTTTCCCTAAGTTAACTTGAGGACAACGTGGAGTTTTGGACCACATAGTTAACAAGAACCTTTTGAAGCCCATCGGTATTTATCGTTATTTTTCGGTACTACGGACGTACAAAATCCCGATCACTTCTTTTGCGAATTAAAAATACTTTTGAGAATTACAAAATACTTTTACCCTTATTTAGGTTCTATTTAAATGCAAAAAGTGTAATTCAAACTTTCACTGCACCTATGAAATGATTAATGAGGAGAAAGGCAAGACCCAAAGCTTTGGGTAAGTCCCGAAATATCCTTCTTAAACAAATACCCCTTCAAATTTAGCCACTACGCAGATTATTGTCATACCCCTGTGGGTATTCCAGAAGACCGTATTTGCTCAGAGGAGCATGCTTATGAAGCTATTCAACGTATTTATGCGGATATGTGGGATCGAGACAAGTTTAGCCGGCATTTTAATAATTGCCGTCATTGGAGTGACATGTTTTGGTGGAAATTGTGAGAGAAAATAGTTGTTAAAAATTTCTATTTTCCCATTTTAAGGCATCCAGAAGAGTACAAACGCAAGAAGGCTGCTGAGGAAACTATGGGTGGACGTTCCTTAAAGGCTTAAAATGAATAAATGTTGGGAGAGTTAATTCAGATTTAATTCTAAATTTAATTTGATGGGAAAATTACATAATATATTATTTTTAATTTTTTATTTCATATGTATTGGCTTGAATAAATACTCTAATTATTTGGTTGTTATACACAGGGAAAGAAATCTAAGGAGAATGAGGGCACTATTTCAATTCCTCTATGTCTGCCACTTCCTCCCCATAAAATATTTCTATGTGAGTTTATCCAATTAATCCCACGACTCAGTTGACCCCACAATGTGCAATTTTCAGGAATTTTTGGAGTGGGGAGGTCCAGCTGCCTCCCTTTTAAGTTTAAAGGATGAGACTCATACGGCAATAATTTCCTTAACCTTGTCGATATTGAAAGAAAAATAAATAGAGAGAAGAGATTGCATTAACTCTCAACTAGCTAAACAATTTTTATTGTTGACAGTCGGGCAATTCTTCGGTTTTTTCACTTAAAGAATGAATATAATTAGGTTATAGCTAGGGTTGTACCCCGAACGTTCGGGGGCGGGTATGTCGGGGTACGGGGTTTTCCAATTGTTTCGGGGCGGGGTTCGGGTCGGGGGAGCAAAATATGGCCGGGGTTCGGGTCGGGGTACGGGGGTTTAGTGGAAAAATTTTTAGAGAAAAAATGCTCAAAAATATTTAGAAATCGATATATTTTCGTTGATTTATTCAAAAATTAAGTAGGTTTTGAAGAAATTAGAGGGGATTTGAAGGGATTAAAGCGTATAACTTGGGATATAAGTGGATCTGGAGGGATTAAGTGGGATTTTTAGGGATTAAATGGTATATCTAGGGATACAAGGTGATCTGGAGTGATTTTTGTTGGTTCAAGGGATATTAGTGATTTATAAGAATATTGATGTATTGCGGATAAGGGTATTTGGACGGATATCAGGAGAATCTTCGATTATTCCTTAAATCTCCCACCTTATATCCCTTTAAAACTCCTTAATTCTTCGATATCCTACAAATCCCTTTATATCTCTGATTCCCATTAACATGACCTCGATAGTTTTCCAACTGATGGTTGAGAACTGGTGATACAGAGGGTTTGAAGGATTAAGGGTGGTTCAAGGGATATCAGTTAAAAATAAAATTAATATTTTCAAATTAAAATTTAACTCGTTAATAATTTGTTTTTGTGAAAAAATATACAAACAACAGAGTTATCCTTATATGGATCCGAACCCAATCCTATATTAATGAAATATCGGCTAAAACCAATGACTAAGCCACTCAACCACAAGTCTCTTAATAAAGAAGGAAAGAAAATTATGATATTTCATTCATTTTTCTTTCAAAAATAATAAAAGCAAAGTAAAATGTATGGAAATTTTTTAAATTTTCTTCATTAATTTCTCCAAAAAATGACATTTTTTAGGGGTATAAAACCCCGTAACCCCGAAACTTTTTGGGCCGGGGAACGGGGTTTTCACTTTTTTTCGGGGCGGGGTTCGGGTCGGGGAGAATCGTGAAAAAATCGTTCGGGAACGGGGTCGGGGTTCGGGGTACGGGGTCGGGGTACAACTCTAGTTATAGCTTTGTCGCTGACATTACGTACGAATAAATTTTTTACATGGAAGTGGAGCCCCTTTCGAATTTTAAAATAAAACGTTGACTCTTAAGGGAAAAGTAGATTGATAAACTGCGTGAGACTCTTATTCCACCTAATTTTAAATATCCATGAGAAGGAAATTTATAAGTGAAAAGAGAAAAATAAAAGAAGAGAGAACACATCCAGTTTAACTCTATCTCTGCCCTCGAATTATAAACTATCGAGCATACTTTTATTAAATTATTTATTTATTCACCGGGATTACATCTAAATGTCCATATGCGAAAATCCATATTTTCGTCCATATTTTGTGATCCATATTTTTCCATTTTTTGGGTTGGGGAGGGGCGATCCTCCCTTAAATTTCAATTGTCTCTGATGTGTTCGGTTAAAGTCTTTGTTCAGCTATGATCAATATCTCGTTCAACACGGAAGGATTGAACATATGTATATAAAGGTTATGCCGAATTGCTTTTAGAATTTGTTAGACGGAACAACAAGAAAGACGAAAATACGGCAAGGATGAAGGACAAAAACTGCAGAATCCTATATTTTTATCCATACACTGTTGTATCTTGAATTATTTTGAAATATATCTTATTGTGACATTAAACGGATTCACTATAAAAAGAGTATTGTAAGGAGAGTTTAATAAATGGAGAATGAACTTGACAGATTGTATAACTCATATAGTAAATTGGCAAAATTAACTTGAAATTTCTGATTACTGAACATTATTACTCTAATATTCAACACTTTAGAAGGGAGACCCGGAACTCTCCCCGTTCCAAAAATTCAAAACCTAAAGGTTTAAGGGGTTTGCCACTGCTGGTTATCCCTTGTCTTGAGCAATATTTTAGGAAATAATTTTATTGGTAGTGTTTGCTAGACATAGATGGAGAATTAACTAATGCACATTCTCAGTTGTATTTTTCTCTCCTTTCTACTTTACTACACAACAATAATAAAAATTATACATTAGAGTCTTCTCAATGAAAAATTAGAAAGAGTTATTCGTCTCCAACAGAGCGAGAAATATAGAAGCTTTGCTGAGCAGTTTCCCTTCACGGTTACTAGCTAAGCTCCTCAATTTTTTCATTTCCAAAAAATATTTAAAAATTTAAAAAATCCAAGAGATTAAAGGGAGGCTCCGGATCCTCCCCGCTCCAAAAATTCCAGAGTAGTTAACCTACCCAGTTCCACAAAGGGAATGCCGCAAATCTTTAACGTTAATGAATACTCTTGTAGCTTACTAACTAAAAATATTTTATATGGAGAAGATGATAGACATAAAATTTAATTTTATACATTCTCCTTCCTATTTTTTCATTTCTCTTTTTATCTTGCATGCGTTTTTATACGTTTGAGTCTCCAAAAATAATTTATTTGATACGAGTTGAAATAATCCTGTAATATCTTTATCCAGTCAATAAACTTCATTATACCCTAAACGTTCTAATAGAAGCCCCTCTCCAATAAAGGCCCATGCCTATCAAAATAAGGCACATTGAAAAATAAATGCCTAGGGCGTCTATTAGAACATTTACGATTATTTATTTTTCTACTAAATTTTTTCTTTATCCATCAGTACCAATTCCATTTAAATATTTCCATCCAATCGAGAGATATAGAAATAAGCTTAGCAAACTAGTCCCCCATCCCCTCGACTTGCTAAGCTCCTCGTTTTTAATTTTTTAAAATAAATCCTTTTTATTTTTTATTCATTTCCATTGTTATATTTTATAAAT